AGGTTCAATAAATATCTTATTTGAGATTCGTTCAAAGTCTTCATTAACTTGAGGTAATCGCCTGTTGGTATCAACTTAGGAGGTCGAATAGACATAAACTTTGAAGTTGAGTCCCCTAACTCAACAGCAAAATCTTGGTCTTCGGCAATGAACTCGATTGGAGTATGGTCGACCAAAGCATTGTCAAAAGTTTCCTCATCTCCCTGTGCCATACTCCCTGAGTCCTACCTCTAGCTCAGTTTCAAGAAAACATGGATCATATATTTGTCGTTTTTGTGTAATTTGATCTAAGAAGTTTTGATAAACTGAAACATGATCAATATCAAGAAGATCTGTGTTTTCATCCCGACATGGTACATACAGCATAATTTATTCTCTATAAAAATTCTCAGGATCTTGATGGAGACCGAATCTGCGATATTGGATAATTCGAGAAGTTGTTCTCTCAGTTATGTACCCACTATTGTCAATCAGACTTAATGAGGTGATCGGTTGATTAATTTGCTTCCGCAGAGAAGAGGACACTTTGGTAAAGTTATAGTTTGCAACGTAATCAGCTAAACAAAGATTATCCAATGCCCTTGGCCTCACTACATAACGTTCTAAAATTCCTTTGAGAGCTATGTCGCATGAATCTGGATCCATTTTCTCAAGTTCGTCGGCAGGCTTAACGAAAATTACCCTGTCGTCAGGTCTATTCGTATTGATAAATGTTACGTCACGCGAACTTTGTGTCATAGGAATTTTTAATAAACAGCAAGCGGCCTCTTGAGCCGATACCTCTGAGGATTTCGCAAAAGCATTGAGGCAAATGAGCTTAAGCGTTCTTTCAAACTAAAATTACCGTCCCTAATTTCCTTGCTAACCTGTCGTAAAAGTTTCGATACGCCTCGATCTGACTTGCTTATGTAATTCACAACATAACTGGCACAAGAATAGGGATCCAAAACAAATAGAATGTCAATGTTTGCTCGCCAGCATAAAAGAAGCTTCTTATTATATGCATTTATGTAAATTTCATGGGTTCCACGTCGAAGAAAAACTTTGGGAATTTTGAGGTTGGAACGAATTGAGAAAATATAATTTTCTTCAGTAAGATCCACATCTTCAAGAAACCTATCAAAGTTAATTTCTTCTGCATGTCGCCCAAATGTGGCAAGCTTTTCTTTAATCTTGGCAAATTGTTCTTTATATTGCTTCACTTGGTTCGCAGGTAACGGAAGTAGTATTCTTGTCGTCCTCATAGGTGCAATTGGAAAACCGAACCTACATCCTCGTCGTTTGTCTTGGCAAGTATGTGAATGGTTGTGGATTTGGTATGCCAGGACTTCCTTCATGTCATCGGATTCATCTTTCTTGCAGGTTATGAATTCATCTATGAATTCACAACAAGCTTGGTGAGTTAGCGAATTTTCTTTGTCAAACGTCGGAGCATCCTTAATCCAGTCCATTCTATGTGTGTGAATTGACCCGCGTTGTTGAACTTCTTTCCTTTTAAAGAAGTCCTGGTGTACATAAGGATGAAAGATTCCACCCACTGGCTTGATCAAAAATCTGTCCATTGCCTTCTCCCGTCTGTCGTAAGCCATTACACATCCTATCGGGTTATGTCTTATGAGATCCGCTTTAGCATCGAACTTCATATTAGAAACTTCTTCATTAGTTAACACGGTCCCATACTTCCTATTATGGAGCATGGAGATCAACTCGGGCCATTTCGTCTCTGCAGCTGATGTTGTAATGAAAAATGTTGGGAGTCCAAGTTGACGAATCATGGCCATTACGTCCTTCTTCTTCTCTTCCAAATATGACGGTGAGTTGACAATGTTTGACAAAAGCCGATACCCGTCATCGTGTTGAATTAAGCTCTGGACACATTGCTTGTTAAGTAGGTTTCCAACGGTCACGATCCCACGCTTTTTCTTTTTTCGAAGACATATGTTTATGTTACTAGCGATCCTATGAGTTTGAACGAGACGGTAGCTATATAAGATCTTGTCTGCTCGTCTGCAGCGTGGATCAAATCTGCGTAGTTCGGACTTTGCAATATCACTATATGACAAGTTAGCTTCTGGATTCAGTTTTCGTTTGATGCCGCAGTAAATGGATGGAAAAGATAACTCTTCGGCGTCGAGATCCATAAGTAAAGACAACGGGCGCATTCCTTCCCCAGGTGCCACTGCCATGATTAGTTGATCTTCTTGCATTAGAGTTTCCGTTAACGGTGGATCATTGTCTTCAGTTTCGGCTTTGTCACTGATAGATAAGTCTTTAATATTTTCTATGTCTGTATAACTTTGAGTAGCATCGCTTGGGTTTACTATATATTCTACTGTGTCTGTTGAAACACTATTAGCCCAGTCTGAGGATAGAAATACCTTTTCCTTTTTATACAATTCGGTACGTACTAAATAATTTGCTGCATGGAAAACTTTGTATGGTCGAATTGTTTCGAACATGTATGGAAGTTTATAAGTCATGCGGCGCTTCAATTGAACCTGTACTGTACTCGTCTCATCAAATCGGCGGGGAATAACTTTGGCGACTATGTCCATGTCGTTTGGAACGTTTACTACTCCCCCTCGGATTCCGTACTGACGGTCGCTCCCTAACGATCTAATCTGAGCAAACGGTAGCCTCAATGCAACCAAACGTTCCTCTAAGCTAGTCATGCTCTGTAATTGATGTGGAATGGGAGGAAAATACAGTCCGTTTGACATACACAACCTGGGCACGTCACCACTCTTCAGCAAATCGTGACATGTGCCACATAAGAAGTACTTGCCATCCACTTTTAGATGGGCGAAAGGTTTCTTGGGATGAAGTTTCCTCACGACTTCCATTGTTGTCGGATGCATAGATGATCGATACCAAAGACCTCCACACGAACCACATATCCATTTAGGTTGATCAAGTATCTCACAATGGAAAGATTTACACAAAATATCAAAATTGGTCTGAGCCTTATGACGTGAAATTGCTTTTTTAATTGTGTTTTGCTGCTGTTCGGCCTGTTTGAAAGTTTCGTCTTCTCGGCGGGTAGCATGTTCCATCCGATTCCGCTCATTTTCCGCGTCGCGATAATCCTCGTTTCCTCGGCGGGTAGCATGTTCCATCCTATTCCGCTCATTTTGCGCATCGCGATAAGCCTCGTCCGCTCGACGGGTAGAGTGGTCAATCCTGTCCCGCTCTTTATCCGCTTCACGGTAGATGGAATCCTTTCTGCGCTCGACTCGTCCCGCTGCATCTCTTTGTTGCTCTTGCTGTCTTAGGTTTTCATCCATCCTTTGTAATTTTTGCGCAACTGCATTTTTCGCGGCTTCTGTTCTCCGGAACTCTTCGTGTTCTCTTTTTCTCCGCATTCTTTCTTTTGCACTAATTTTTTTGCGAGGCATTATGACACTAACAGTTACGTACCTCTCACACCGCTCAATAAGTCACAGCCGTCGATACGTCACACCACCCGATTCGTTACACCGCCTGATGTATCTCTTCGACTTGATAAGCTCTCCTCTGGATAAGTTGCTCTCCCTGTGGATAAGTTGCTCTCCCTCTGGATAAGTTGCTCTCCCTCTTGATAAGTTGCTCTCCCTCTTGATAACTTGCTCTCCCTCTTGATAAGTTGCCCTCCCTCTTGATAAGTTGCTCTTCTTCTCGAGTAAATAATTGGGTATGTAATTCAAAAAAACAGCGACCAAGAATTTTTAATAATTCTGCATTATTAAAAATACGGATGTTTTCTAATTCACAGAGTTTTCTATTGTTTCTATGTCTGATTTACCGGACCATAGCTACAAAAATTTAAATTAAATGATGCATTTCTAGAATTTATTTCCTAATATCCATTTTTATACACAAGTCTATAAAAATTTGAGCCATGATTATGTCAAAATTGTGTACCGATTCCACCCACTTAAGTATAACAGGGCGAGCTTCTTCTACCGCTACAACGGTTTATTTAAAATCTAAATACTGAATTTCAAGTATTTAGTATTTATTATTTAAATACCTGAGCGTATAAAATGTATTTAACTAATTAGTATTTAAATACTTTAAATACTGCAGGTATTTAAAATTAATTATTTAAATACTAATTTTCTTTTACATGATTCAAAACTCGGATTTTGGACGTTGTTAATTACCAAATTCATAGCATTCATTTGGTGTTCTGAGGTATAGATTAATTTTGTAGGGCAAAATCAAGCAGATTATTACAGCCCGTGTTTTTTATTATTTGAAAATTGATCAAACATGTGTGAAAATTTTAGTTAAATCGAAAATTTAAAGAAATCATTTGTGTTTTATCTTTTTTTAAGCTTCTTCACATTGATTACTCATGTTCAGCTTGTAACACAAATTATTAATTCCACATATCTCGTCTCAATCTAATTCTCACAAACATTCGTTTTGTTCATTCATTCACTCATTCATTCACTCATTCATTCACAATCACTCAATTTGTTTGTTGACGATTCCACTTGAGAGTATAGATCTAAACATAAGAGTTGGTAATTCAGATGCTACCACTATTTAAATACTGTTTAAAGAGTATTTAAATAACCGGTACTTAAGTACTTAAGATATATGTATTCAGGTATTTAAGTAATTGAGTATTTAAATACCTTCTCAAAATTCGAGTATATATTTAAGTATTTAGTATTTAAATATTTAAAACAAATTCAGTTATTTAAGTATTTAATACTTAAATACCACTCAAGTAGTCAAGTATTTAGAAATGAAGTATTTACATACTTTTGAGATATTTAAAACAACTCTGGGTATATTAATGGCGAGGATAAATCCGTGCAGTATTAAATAATATGTAGTAATATCATTGATAATTAATTACCACTAATTCGATTGGGTAATCCAGCAGGGTCATTTTGTTGCAAAATGGTTCATTAAGATTGTTAGATCATAATTCAGTAATTGACAGGTAATAATCAGTCTCATAAGGACAGCATGTAAAATTACTCTGAAGAGAGAACAGATCCAAGCCATTGCTAGCCAAAAGTTTTATTTCTATTTTTTAATATTTAATCAAATCTCTGCAAAAAACTGCAAAATTTAATCATTTCGCACTGGTGGCGTTTCTACAGCATTCATTTTGTGCTTTTTTGTGATTTTCGAGGGCGACCAAAGTATCAATCTGGTAATTACATCCGATCATGGTGGACATGCAACATGCCGCACAATCGGGTGTTGGCAAGGGTGCCCAATCAACTAGCTCTGGGAAGCAAGGGCAGTCGACTTGGTTGCACGTGTCGTAGAACGAGAACCAGGTTGTTCCCATCCATTGACGGCATCTGGCAGCTAAAATAAATACAAACTAAATAGGACAAAATTTTTACGTAATTTTTCCCCAAAATAAGCTTACCCGGTGTTTCTTCTGAATTACAGAGTGAAATTGTAAAGACCAATAATAATCCTATAATAAGCTTCATTATGTTTAATCTGTTTTGCTTCAAGCTTTCGAAATAAAGGTGGAATGGCGAGATTTTAGTTGAGTTTATATTACTTTTTAATGTTAAGTACTTACATACTTCATAGTGATCAAGTTTTTATTATCTAAATTGTTGTCGTCGGCGAGTTTAGTGTAAATATTACTGAAAAGGTGATAAGATCAGGGATGGACAAAATACTTTATAAAAATATAGCATTTTTAGCTTCGTGTTGGACTTCCCGCGCTGGAACACCCACAAAAAGATGAAAATCTACCCAGAGAAGGCAACAGTGTTACGAAAATAAGGCTTTATCGACAAAGTAACTTTTTATCGCTTTGTTTTTAGAAAATCGCGAAAGAAATTTATTTTGACATTATAATTTCAACACAAAACCTGTATTTTCGCCTGACTGTTGCCTTCGCCAAGTAGATTCTCGTATTGTTTTGGGCGTAACATCCCCGGGAATCCAAACCTTGGGAAGTACGGAGCTCAAAATACTGTATTTTGATAAATATATTTTGCCCATCCCTGGATAAGATAAACAACGATGTCATCATTTGATTTGATGACAGGGCTCGACATTTAACAGGCCGGCGACAACAATTTAATTAAAACTTGTTCATCACGATGTACTTCAGATTAAAAGTAATTTACACACTCAATTAATATCACGCCATTGTTTGCATTGGTTTTCAAATAATATTGTGTGAACAACACGATATGAATAATTAATACGTAATAATTAATAACATAGATAATAAAAACATGTCAGTCACTGGAAGCAAGAGTTGGGTGGAAGGATTCAATGACGCACGATTAGTTTGTATAAATCGATGTATACACATACTAATAGAATAAAATATTAATTAAGTAGCCTACAAGCCGGTCTTAAAGACGGGGCACAGCAAGTTTTAATTCAACACAATAAAATCATTCGAAGAAGTGTAAGGGTGAGCACTGAGAAGAGAGAGGCAACCCTTGCTGGTTGCAGGAGAACGCGACCGTGTGCGTTACGCTGTGTAGTGGAGCGAGTTGGAAGAGAGTGCTACTTACATATAGAGACAGACCGAGCGGTTAGAACGCCGTGTCTGTCTGTGAGAGTGAGCAACCAAAAGATAAATGGAACTTGGGCTCACTGGTTAATAAGCATGGCAATGCTTTTAAGCATGGCCTTGTATTTAAGAATGGGCCAGTGGTGTTGAGGCAGGATGAAACTAGGAGCGAGAGAGAGCTCAACTGAGCTGTTGGTGCATACCTACTCAAGTTATACCGAGTCCTACTCGTGTTGTATAAGAGTTATGCGGTGGACTGGAGTCAAACCAGGAAAGTGGTGGTGGCACTGGACAGTAAGTACGTATTTAAATAGAGATTTATTTAGGTAAGAATGGTTAGTTAGCAAGAAAGGGGCTTAGAGCCGCTACCTCTGTCCTCAGTGGTAGTACCAGTCGCTGGCTTGTTAGTCGAGAGAGAATCATACATACATGTGCATGGGCGTTGACTCGTCGCGAGTCAAAAACATAGTGGTAGGAAATGAGAGCTCGGACGCTCCTTATATAGTAGGTTGCGGGTATCTCACCCGCATTAACTTAGTTGGCCTTCACGGCCAAGCCAGTCTATGACCTCGTCTAGACTGGTTAATTTAATTAATTAATTCGACGCGATGGAATTGGCGTTGTGTAGGCTTTCAGCCCTACAGAAGGCACGACATAACTGGGGCGATGTACTAATTATAACCAAATTATTATTTGACAGTAAAACAACATCTAAATGTATAAAAACATCGAAAAGGCTGTTCCGTTAAACTTTCCACGACACTCCTTCATTCAGATTGGTTGCCAGCTTCCTTAGAGATTTTTTTAACGTTGCTAGGGAATTTTTTTAACGTTGCTAAGAAAATTTAAAATCTGAAGAGACAGTTTTTCATTATTGTGACTTATTTGAAAGGTGAATCAACTTCATAAATAACATTTATGATGTATCACATATCATATTTGATATTGAAAAATTCTTAAAGGTTGGTTTTGCCATTGAATATTTATGCACTTAACAAATTGGCGTCTGTGACATTGGTCATCAGCAGAGATATATTGTTCTTATGCTAGCGTGTAAAAGTTCTTCATTATGTGAATGATGAACCTTCACATAATCAAGTGCGGTCGTTCTCTACATACATCGGTAAACCAAAAGTTTGTTTAACGTATGTATGCAATCGTCTGACGCAACTCTGCTGCGTTTTATCGTTATCAGTGCATAATTCCAGAACTTATCGATCAATCACCTTTTCCTGTTGCTAACTCATTTTATAAGTAAATACAAACAGAATCACATACGCAGTATGTTGAAAGATACGATATTTTAATATTTCTTGCCTGACACGAATAATCTCTAAGGGAAGAGAAGTTTAGTAAACATTCTACGCAGGAGTTTTAAAATTGTGGCAAATCGCCCTGTTAAGTTAAACGCCGAAATTATGGTATTAAGTGTACGAAATATTTGAAGGTGAGCTGATTTTAGTTGCAATAGTTATTCCGGTCTGACGCCACTTGAGAAGGCCGCCGTTAGGTCCGCCCCTCTGTCTGTTCTTTTGTTGGTGAGAGAACTCATTAATCGACAGCCAGGCGAAACTTGATTGGCACAGCAGTTGAGCAACAACTAGACTTAAAAAATCTTTTTGTCATGTTTTATTTTTTAAATTAGCCGGACATTTAATTGTGAGCAGTATGGGTTTGACGTCATCTTCAACCAGAAATGGGAGAATTTCTTCCAATCGTTGTAAATTACTGCATGAAATCTGTTAACATTTTGCAAAATATTTGTTCATGCATATCTTGATCCTAATTTTACGCCTGCTTAATTCCAGCCGGCAATGACAAAATTGTAGCATCAACTAGGGCAATGTCGAAAGCCTTGATGAATCATTTGGTCAGTCGTCACCAATTTTGCGATCACATCAGCATCCAATTTATTCTTTTGATGCACAAAAGTATCCTCATTTTCTATCAGATTCTCAGCAAAATCTTTTACCAGGTCAGTATACCTGATTTGAAGTCGTGCCGTCTCGTCAGCCATGATTGGGCCGATCAAGCCGCCACTTTACTAGGATGTCGTGTATATCTTCACGCTCACCAGCTGTTCGTGTACCACGGTTCAAATTTAAACCTGGCGACTCCTCTTGTCAACCAAAAGCTTATCAAAAGCCTCAAAATCTACGAGGAGTTCGACACAGTCGCCCAAAAAAACAAGGCCATCGACATTATCACGAAAGGGTTAAGCATGCTGATATCCAAAGATATCCTACACGTCTCCGCCTTCATGGGGAAATATAAAATTTGTTTGGAGCTAGATATACCTGAAAAACTTAACGTTCACCCTAATTTAACTAGCATTACGTTCAGGCCTGGCGAACTGAAAGAAAATGGCTCGTTCCACCCATTACTCCAAAGCTTGATTGATTCAGCACCAAATTTGACCTTTTTGGACGTCTGGGCTTCCTTCCCGGATCTGGAGAGGTGCAAAAAGCTCGAGTCGTTTAAACTCTACTTCCACAGGTCAGACCGTGCCATAAATATTGATAACATAACCGCGATGTTGAGGCAGGTTAAGAATTCGCTGACAGAGGTGGAACTGAAGTATCTAAATGATGCGCCTGGTGGGTATCAGGTAAAAATTGACTGCCGTATTCAATTAAAATGAAATTTACGTATCGTAAATTACTATACACGCTTCCAGCGATCTATGACAATAGGCCGCTTTGTTATCTCAATTTTTTATGTGAATTTCAAATTTACCGCAGAGACGAAGCATGGACGTTCCTGTGATGTCGAAACTTGCGTCGCTCACTTACGACGTAGGACATGAATGTCTGCACACTAAGTTTTTGAATGAGGAGAACCTCCCAGCATTGAAGAACTTGTCGTTCAAAAACTCGTTCGCTTCGAGAAAATTGTCAGACCGTCTGAATATGTGGCAGCGACACAGAGGAGTTCAGTCTCTGACGCTGGAACTTTGTTATAAACACCGACAAGAAGAATTTGCAGAACGTATCGTACAATTGTTTCCCAACGTTGGGAAATTTGAGATGAAGATGAATTTCTTTGCTCACAGCTCAATCCATGAGATAAATCGGGTGATGGAACAGTTGAAAATGTGGGAACTGGAGGAGTCAAATGTTGATGTGGACTATCTAGGCCAGGCTGCCTTGATAGTTATCATCCTGAGGAACATGTCGCTGTGGAGGGGTGAGTACAGAAGTTAGGGCGGCTATACTCTTAGAAAACTGGTGTAAAATAATTACAGACCCGAGTACATATTTATGTTAATACTAGCGTATAGCCCGGCCAAGGCCGGGTTCTAGAGTTCCAGTGGGGGGTGTGCCCAAAGCGAAAAATCCGTCATGCTATACTTTAAATAATTCCCAGTGGAGACTTCGTCGTACTACATACATACATCAGAGTGAGGGTTTGCCCAGTCATACTGCATTTTAAGTAACCTGGTCACAGTACAATTTGATTTCCCCCTGTGGGAGTAGTTGAATAGCTAATTACTTAAATTCCCCTCGTGTGGGAGTAACTGCATAGCTAACTATTTATATTCCCGCGCTTCACGCTCCCGTTAGGTTCCATAAACCCCAACTTCTATAATTAACGTCAAACTATTGACGGATTCGGATTCAGCGTCAAAAATACATTCGAATTGATATGCGACATCACGGATAAGCCATATTTGGCTGCCACGGTCACGGGAAGGTCACGGGGGCCTCGGAGGTCAAAACCATTAATGGCTTTGGATTCAGCGTCAAAAATACATTCGAATTGATATGCGACATCACGAATAAGCCATATTTGGCTGCCACGGTCACGGGAAGGTCACGGGGGCCTCGGAGGTCAAAACCATTAATGGCTTTGGATTCAGCGTCAAAAATACATTCGAATTGATATGCGACATCACGAATAAGCCATATTTGGCTGCCACGGTCACGGGAAGGTCACGGGGGCCTCGGAGGTCAAAACTATTAATGGCGTTGGATTCAGCGTCAAAAATACATTCGAATTGATATGCCACTCGCTGTGGGTGGAGTTTCTCAAACTAAAATAATTAATTAATAGTGTTTATCACGATCACTTATCATGATAACCACTATTGATGAGTAATGATGGTTGGTTGATCAGTTGATGTATGTATGGGGTAGCAGTTCATGCATTCATGCATGCATGCAGTGTTTGCTCCGCTTCCTTCTTTGTCTCCTCTACGGGGCGACTTGCATTGACTTACGGACCGACCCAGAACTTAACACTGTCATTTTATGGTAGTGATATTACTCTATCCGTAGTAGTATGTAATTACGGGTATTACCAGCATTACATAATAATGTTTCAGGCATGAAAAATTTAAAACTCAGGAACATACTGTTACAAATCCAGGAAAATCATTACTAATGTATAGTGGCCAGTAATGGTTTTATACCAGTTGAGTAATACACCGAAAAAAAGATTCATCTGACAATGGAACCTTTATGCAGGCCCCGCTGGGATTATTTGGCTAGTTGTGTTAAAAATATAACCAAAATTTCGGAATCATGTGGCACTTATATTTCCTTTGAATTGTTTATCTGACGAAAAATATTGGCCGCAAAATTCAATGTCTAACAATGGAGAGGTGTCAGGGTACGTATTCCGTCCCCGGATTTTACAGGGTTTGGGTTTTACAGGCGTCTTACTCTGGTTTCAGTAGGTTTTATCTAAAGTTATAATAGATAAATCCATAGAATCCGTTTGCAACTACATTTCAAACAGGAATGAAGTACTCTGATTAATATCCCTTAAATTATTGCTTTTTATTTCTAATTTATCTTTATGATTCAAAAATCACAATTTACAGCTGAACTTGGAGTTTAACATATTACTGTTATCGGTCTGTTCTTGGGATTTTGAATTAAAGTTTTATGGTATGTATATCTTGAGTACATTAATTTAACAAAGTTTAACATTATAAGTTATCTTTGTTCATCCTAGGACCCGATTAAACCCTGAGGTAGTTGTTTTCAAGGTAAAACATAGGTTTTCCGAACCGTTTACGGTTTACTGAAGTGTGTTCACGTGTATGGTTTTTTCATGACTATTTTTATATAATTATTTGTATTATTACAAGCAATTAAAAAAACACAATTTTACTTGTATCATTTCAAAATTATTACCTATTTCGCATTCCTTGTCGCACAAAAGCCGCGCACAAATCCGTAAATTCGCCCAGCCTGGTAACTCCCAGAATAAGCGAAACGAGGAAACAAATCAGCCAAACATATTCGTCCACGATGGTGACGAAGTGCCAAATAATGACGGACGACATACTCGGATTTTTCTGACAGTAGAGGACATAATGGTCTAAAGTTTTAAACATGTAGAATATCTGCCCTTTCAGAAGCACTATTTTATGTGCTTGCAATGCCAGAGAAAAACGGGAATAGGTATTAGACCTGAGGTAAACAAAATGAAGAATTTATTACAGCGTCAAACATCTTGCACTCTTAAAAATAATGTTACCCATTTGAAAAATAAATACACTGTCAATTCGATATTAAGTAAAGTATATTATGCTCGTGGAATTAAATTTAAGCACATTTTTTAATGCTTTACTTATCCAGAAATGTGCTTAATTATAATTCCTCGACCATAAATCCAGAGTACTATTCATTAGGTAAATCCCTAATTAATTTAGGAATTAATTTAGGAATTAATTTAAGAATTTTCTGTAGAGTCATTAAAGACTCTTAACTAAACCGTACAATTTGGACTAGATTTAGCATATTTTGCAAAATTTAAAATTAAAGTGCACTTAGGATTCAAACAGTAACATTATTTTTAAGCGCGTACTCACATCGCAAAAAGTAACCGAACTGAATTACGATTTACATATATATAGGGTGACCATCCGTCCCGGTTTAGCGGGGACATGTCCCGCTTTTCAAACCCTGTCCCGGCGTCCCGAAAATGTCCCGGTTTTGATAAAGTGTCCCGGTTTTTTAAATTAAATTATTTCACTTTTTCGCCAAAATATTGATGAAAAAGTATATTTTTGTACATAAATACTAGTAACCTGCATGTAATATTTACTTAATTTCCTTTCCTGGCTCATTCTCAAAATTCAGTGATATTTGAATTGCCAAGCACAAGATATTATGGCAAATTTTTTCGCCAAGCACAAGATATTATGGAAAAAATTTTTCGCCAAGCACTAGATATTATGGAAAAATTTTTTGGCCAAAAAATGTCCCGGTTTTAGTCAGGACAAATATGGTCACCCTACATATATAAATTCGCAAATAAGGCCCTTTTCGATATCCATTTCATATGAAGAAAAGGCTATAATTATAAAATATAAACCATAGCACCCCTAAACACAATATTTTACTTACTTTTTCGTCGAAAACGTAAAATTTAACCTCCTCGAGACCAACTGTAGTGGGGCAAACAAGATAAAACACCACGTACCTACGCGAACAAATTCGCGATGATTTTCGCAATCCGCCCATCTCAGTCTTCTTACCCATTCAGTCATTAATGACAATCTATGCATTTCTTGGTTATAGTTCACCCCTCGTCGCAAACTTGTCAACTTTTCCGGAGAAGGAAAGAGCAATTTGCCCCCCACTGCGGGGAAATGATACCAATTCCGGAACCCCTAAGTGAGAGAAAGCAGCGTAGTGTAGATGATAAGGTGGTTACCAGTATTTTCATCGGCTTGCACAACAATTACGTAAATCGGGGTACCCATTATCGACAGAAAATTAAGAAACTTGGATTCCATCAATACTATCAAACTGGTTAGGGTTAAAGTTAAATAGATCACGACATTATTTCGGTTTCCCCAATTTACGAGTTCGTCGTAATATTGAAGAAGACTTCGAGTCCTGCTGAAGACTAGGATTTGGGCACAATTTAGTCGCCACGATGGAAATTCGTCTTTATGCCTGGAATAGTTAAGGAGCAGTGGCTTTACTGGGATTCCGCTGAGATGACCGGAAATTAAGGTGGTGTCATGTAATGTTTGGGTGTCCGGAAGTGTCGATACGTTTGAAGAATTTTTAGTAGTCGTAACGCCAATTAGAAGGAGCCAGTTCGGATCGAGATCAAAATTTGGGAAGGTTTGACAGCCTTTTTGGGGAACCAGGTGAAATATTTGGTAAATTATGATTGTCAGAATTTTCTTCATCGTAAATGGGAACTGGTACTGTTTGGTGGCTCAAATAGGTAAGAGTGGTAGCAACGACTTAAAAATGAGATTATAAATAGGTCGTTATATTGAAATATTAGGTAATGTTGCCAAACTTTTGTCTGGTAACGGATTGAATGTACGTTGGTGCAGGGTTTGAACTTTAGTTGCGTCGAATTTGTGGACTTCAAACCTGCGAAGAAGGATTATAGGGAAAAATATGTACTATTTATTTATTTGTCGTTGAAGTTTTCAACAAAGGTAAATACAATGCAATGCCTTTCTTCGGCGGAACTTGACAACTATTAGTAGCTTCAATGCGTGTTATGCAACTTGGCCTTAATAAAGGATTTATAAGGGTATTGCGCCATACAATTATGTATTTTAAAATGTTGGACAGAAAGTTAAGTAAGAAAAGTTTATCAAAATTATTTATTTTATATACATATACATACCTGAAATAAATAGTCTTCCAATAGTTATGTAAAAAAAGGTTGTTCCAGAGAACGGTAAAACACAAGTAAGCAGTACATCCACGACTGGCCAATGGCCATACTATGGTTTGATTTTTTAAATCCAAAATGTGAAAGATTTGCTCATCAGTTGGAAAAATTTGACACAATTGTTGTGTCACCCTCTTATTAGCTCAACCTATAGTGAATTTTGGAGGCAACCCTATTTGGTATATTGTATTCCGTATATTTCCAATTTTGGTGGAAATTTTCGAAAAGATCGCCAAGTTGCGACATCTGTTGCAGCACGTTTGCCACCTCCACCACGTGGCACAGAGATTTTGAAATGTCATGCCAGATTAACCACAGATATGGAGTGTCACTTCATATCTGTGAGATTAACACATGACAATTCATTGTTATGTCATAAAAAATTAGCATGCATACTTTGCTCAGGATTTATACCAATCTCAATCATACATAAGTGAACTTCATCACAATTAGAGATCTCTTAATCCTATACCCTACTCCATATTCAATAATGAAGCTAAAACCCGTTGCAATTATACACACGAGATATAACTGAAAGGCCACCAATAAATTTTGAAATGTTCCAATCGCCGTACTTTTAATGATGGGATGCTCTCTGGCATGCCGCTGGTCCACAAACTTCCAGAGATTTTCGTACAGTTTAAAAATCCCGTTGGAGCTAAGCGTTTGCAAAACCGCGAGTAATTGGTTTCCTCCAAAGTAGCGGAATTCCCATACCACGTTTCTCTTGTAAAATATCTCCTTAACTATGTTGCACGTGACATTAGGGTAGTTCGATTTAAGAAAATATAACACGAGTTGGATGTGATCGGAAGTCGGTTCGAAGGCTATGTCATCCGCGAATATGGCGGCGCCAGATATTTCGTAAAATTTGGTTAAATTGGGTGAAATTCCTAAGGAAATTAAAACATAAATTTAATTCAGTTCGTCATCTTGTCAGAATATTAATTGGGGCATTTTGGTATTTCACGTCAGTCTTCGTAAGTCCTTGCTTTCCTAAATTTACAAAGATCAGCATATGAAATAGAAATATGCCTTGTATCTTTGTAATTTTTTGTGTTTGTAATCAAAAATTATTTTGGTCAAAAGTATCGTCAAAAGTTTATAACTTTCTTATCTTTTCGTGGGAGCGACCTTACAAATTCTGACCTGAAATGTTTAATAGTAATTTACTTTCTTTAACCAGGTGTATTTCACCGTCTAATCGTCGAAGAGACATTCTAAACATTTCCACGTCTCGGTTAAGGTGGGCCGAGTGAAATTTAAATCCGAACTCGTTAAAAATCTCGGAAATTGTGCCGATCACGTATTTTTCCAAAGGTTTCGTTATTTGGCAGGTAATATAAGCGTCATACCACGAGCTGAGGATTGTGATTCCAAGAATTGCGAGAACCGCGGCGAGAGACTTTTTCCTGTAGGAAATGCATCACAAAGTAAAAATTGACTATACTTTTGCGAATATGTACACTTTGCCACTTTGCAAAAATGTGAGACACCGTTAAATGTTGGAAGGATTATAAATCTGGTTACATATGTGGGCCGTGAATGCCCCATTTTCGGAGGTATTAATGACTACAAAAAATTCCAACTTTGCACGAAAAGTATCTCAGGAAAAATCAAAATATGTATGAGCAAAAAATTACAAAAAATTGCGAAACTTGGATAGGGTATTATTCGGTAGCATGTTGGTAGCGGCACACCTCTGCCCATTTTCCACTTTTTCAGAAATATTACGGATTCGAAATTATTGAAATTCGTTTATGTGGAATCGCTTGGTCAAACAGACACGTTAAGATGGAGTTTTGTCCCGCAGTCTTGCTTGGTTTTAGATAACCAAGCGAAACTATTTTTTGTAATTTCAATCAAATCAGAAAAAAAATTCAAAATTATTACCTTTTCCGCATTCCTTGTCGCACAAAAGCTACACACAAATCCGTAAATTCGCCAAGCCTGGTTACTCCCAGAATGAACGAAACTAGAAAACATACCAGCCAAACATATTCGTCCACAATGGTGAAGAAGTGCCAAATAAGGACGGACGACATTGTCGGGTTCTTCTGACAGTAGAGAACATAATAGTCCAATGTTTTCTCAAGGTAGAATATCTCTCCTTTCAGAAGTACGATTTCATTTGATTGTAATGCCAGAGAAAAACGGGAATATTGATTCGACCTGGCATACATCAACGAAATTATTAATTCAGGATATCTTTCATACATAAGTTCGTTTCCTTAAAGATCATGTCAGCCTTTTGAAAAGTGGATGCATTCTGAATTTTATATAAAGAAAGCTAAACCAAAGGATGCTAATAAGATCCGATGTCACTGGTTTCTAAGTTAGTAAAAGTTCAAACTCATTTCAAACCGTTACAGTTAGCAATAAACTGCCGTGATTTTTTAAATCTCCATCAAGTTTCCTGTAGAATCGACATATTTCAACATAATTACACATTTCCAGAATGC